TATTTTGTTAATACACATTCGAAACGTTTATTACTTTCATGATGATTTTTTTTTATTCGAAACACATTCAGCCTTATCATGAGTTTCATCTTCCCTGAACCGGTTCACTTTTCGCTTTTGGTTTCCATGTACTTACTATGGGGGAATCAAAATTTTCGCCTGAATTTTTTTTCAGGCGAAACTAATGATAAGAAAGATTACATACATAAAATGATAGCCATTTCCTTTTTTCGGACTAAACTAAAAACCACTCAATAGAGCCNTTTTCGCTTTTGGTTTCCATGTACTTACTATGGGGGAATCAAAATTTTCGCCTGAATTTTTTTTCAGGCGAAACTAATGATAAGAAAGATTACATACATAAAATGATAGCCATTTCCTTTTTTCGGACTAAATCAAAAACCACTCAATAGAGCCTAGTCAAATTGTCGGAGGTCCTATTATAGGCTACTAGAAAACACGCTGGTGGCGCTGGAGTAGAGTTAGTTATAAAAGTCTTATTTATTAACAGATTTCGGTAAAATTCGCAGCGTGACTACCTGTATTATGAAAAATTCCTTTGCTAAAAATGGACCGCTGGAGTTTAGGTATTAAGAAAATCCGTAGTTTTTATAAAATCTGATTGGAATTCATAATTCGTATTCATTTCATGACAAGCAAAGGTTTTGCAGAAAAGGGACCCAATGGATGACGCCGTACCCGAAATATATAGAAACCCCCACGGGGTTTGTTCTGCTTTGGCCCTGTGTTTATCTTAGATGAATTTACTTTTCAGATGGCTAATTCAAGGATTTAAGTATGAATATAAAGACCGTAAGGCTGTGTAAGCGTGATCTTGCATCTACCTCCGATTGACGAAATTGCTCGAGGCGGCCGTTATTACAGCAGTAAGACTCAAAGAAACCAATTCATCAATATTAAGACGAATTGTAAAAGTGTCGAATTGACAACGAAAGATTCGACCACATCTGTTCAAGAGGGAACACGATAGGTATATCAACGGCTTCATTTGAACGATATTCATGAGATCACATGACTCATTTAGCCAATGTACGCGAAAACTTTTCATCCTGTGGGGCAGCGAGGATTCTTGGCCCTCCTATAATTGAAAAAGCTCATCTGTGCTCTTGAGTTTCCGTATAAGGGCTTTTATTGGCTTACATGGTATACCGAACCAATGCTGAAGTTGCAGGATCATAGAAGAACATTACGCGCGCTTGGCAGAGATCTCACAGGTGGAAATAAGACCATAGGTAAAACGCATTACATCGAAAGGGATTAGTATTCCATATGGAATCACAGTGCTGCTATTCTTGGCTAAAGAAGCTCTTAATACAGACTCTCTAAGAGATAACTCAAGTGAAATCGCTACTGAGCATGACTTTCAATTAAAATCTACTCTGCTAACTGTGGTTAAAGAACTTTCTGCTCTCAGGGCAGAAAATGCTCGTATCTTGTATTTGCTAGTTGCTTTGCATGAAGACAAAATGCAGCTAATAAAGAAAAGTGATGATTTGCATGTAGAAGTTCGTGTATTGCAAACTAAGCTAAACGACAAAGATGCCGACGTATCATCGTTGACTGCGGAGATAAANGGTTAAAGAACTTTCTGCTCTCAGGGCAGAAAATGCTCGTATCTTGTGTTTGCTAGGTGCTTTGCATGAAGACAAAATGCAGCTAATAAAGAAAAGTGATGATTTGCATGTAGAAGTTCGTGTATTGCAAACTAAGCTAAACGACAAAGATGCCGACGTATCATCGTTGACTGCGGAGATAAAAAGCCTTCGAAGCATTGTTGATAACTTTACTCGCCTCAATGCAAACCACGCTATTGCTGTTAGCAAATGTAAGGAAATGATTGACAATGAAAATCAATCTCTTTTACGCTCTTCTCCATCATACCCAGCCGCCGGCTCTCTGCATTGGACTAATGTTACTGCTGCTCATGCTGAACCGTGTTTACCTACACCAACAGAAACTCCCTCATCTGCTCCGTCTACTATGTGCACGGTATCGAATGCTGCTCTGCCCCCCCAATGGGTCTGTTAAGCGCATGGCGCTCAATACCAATGTTAGCTATGCTGCTGCTGCTGCTGCCGATACTAACTCAATTAAAGCTAATGGTAAGAGCTCTGTTATCACTGCTGCTGGCGCTGTTGTTGATGCCGACGTGGATGTTAATTCTTTGAATGCTGATATTGATGTTGTGCCTGATCCTGGTTCAGAGCCTGCGGTTTTTTCTGGCTCGAATGGTTGGAAAACTGTGCCTCATAAGACGAAAACTCCGAAACGTCAACAGGTTGTGGTTGGTCGAAATAAAAACGCTGACCTCGACATTATCGTAAAAATGAAGTGGGTGCATGTATCCGCTTTTAAGCCATCCGTTTCTACTGATAAAATCATCGAGTATGTATCTAAACAGTCCGGTATCGACATTAAACATTATGCATGCCACAAGCTTATTAAGAAAGACGAACCTTAAGAAAAGCTTCGAAGCATAAATTGCAAATTTGGAGTTTCGTATGCATATTATGAAGGTATCTTGAAGGCTCCTGTTTGGCCTTCTGGTATAAATGTCCGACCATTCCGCTTTTTTCAAAGGGAAGCCCCATCGGAAGCGCACAAATAGCTTGAATTCTGGCAATTGTAGCTCAGCCCCTAAGGGTATTCAAATTTATTTTCAAAACATGTCTGGAATGCGGACTAAAACCAAAGAGATATTTTTATCAACGTCCCGCGTTGACTTTGATGTCTATGTTTTTGTGGAAACATGGCTGAATGCTGACTTTTATGACGACGAGTATTTTAATCCAACTTTATTTAATGTATTCAGGAAGGATAGAGATCCGGTGAAGACTGGTCACTCCAAAGGTGGTGGTGTCCTAATCGCCTTAAAGCGCTGTATCCGCTCGTCGTTACATCAATTAGGGAATCGAGATACTCTCATAGATCAAATTTGTGTTTATGTCTATGGTTCGCTTGGAAAATTATTCATTTGCACATCCTATATACCGCCAAATAGTACGGACTATCTATACAGCTGTCATGTTGACAATATCGTCGATCTTTGTGAGCAGAATCCTGACTCTTCGTTTTGCATTCTTGGCGATTTCAATCTTGCAGATATAGTCTGGTCCGACCTACAAAGAAATGGTTTCCTGACTCCAACAGGAGTACGAGATAAATTTTCTGGATAGTCTGCTTAGTTTAAACTTAATCCAAATTAATTCATTATCTAATAAGTTGTCTAAAATTCTTGACCTTGTCTTTGTTGATGAAAATTCAATATTTTACCTAGAGGAATGCAGTTTTCCGGTTAGTAAAACTGATATGCATCATGTGTCCATAATTATTTATTTGGAAATGTTTGATAATTTCACTGCAAGGAATATAACGTCTGGTTTCTTTAACTTCCGCGATGGTAACTTTCAGGCTTTCGATATAGCCTTGTCTGAAATCAACTGGCACTCTGTTTTTATTTCTAAGATCGTCTCAGAGTGTTTTGATTCTTTTGTGTGCACACTGCCGCCTAGGATTCATAGATTACCCTGGTACACAAGTAGACTCAAGAATCTTAAAAACAAAAGAAACAGGTATTATAAACTACATAAAAGTCAGCTTGATAATGTTAATCTCAAGGCTAAATATATCTCGTTCATGAGACAATTTAACATCTTGGATAAATTTCTTTATAACAAGTATATTAGTAAATTTGAGTCTGATTTGAAGGAAAATCCCAAAGCCTTCTGGAGCTTCATCCGCTCCAAATCGGGCTCCTCAAATATTCCTTCCTGTATGTACTATAATGGTAAGTGTTCTAATTCGATTAGTGATACTGTCGAATTTTTCGCTTAGTTTTTTAAATCAAATTTTGTCGGTGATGACAACTCCCCCAGGTTTCCAGTTAACTCTTGTCCTCCACAAGGTTTAGACTTTGGATCGATGTCTTTGACAGAATCTAACATTATCAGAGGCATATTCTCTCTTAAAAAGTCTTTTAAATGTGATTCCGACGTTGTTTGTCACTTTTTCCTTAAGGAATGCCATTCCTCCGTTTGTGTTCCACTGTGTATGATTTTCAATCTCTCTCTTCGTTCAGGTGTTTTCATCGAGCGCTGGAAAGTAGCGTCCATCACTCCCATCTTCAAGTCAGGTCGTAGGAATGATGTTCTAATTACACACCTATCTCTAAATTAACTGTTTGCTCCAAGCTTTTTGAGAAGGTGGTAATGGAGAAACTATCTTTTGCCCAAAAAAGTATCGTGAATCCTCGTCAGCATGGTTTTGTCGGTGGTCGTTCTACCGTAACGAACCTCGCTGTTTTTTCTGAATTTTGTATAATTGCGATCAGAAATGGGGCCCAAGTGGAGAGCATCTATACAGATTTCTCCAAGGCGTTTGATAAGGTATCACATTAAATTTTGCTTCGTAAATTAAGAAGCATTGGTTTCCATTCGGTTTTCTGAAATTGGTTAAAGTCATATCTTTCAAGTAGAACCCTGTTTGTTGAAATTGAAAACTGCAGGTCAATTTGCCGCTATTTGCCCGGTTTGGAGGGCTCTGAATGAACTTAATGCAATTTAAAAAAATTTAAATATTGAATTTTCTATTAGTAGGCAGTAGGGCTGGGACTATCCGCATATTCGAATATCCGGATATCCATCCGGATTATCCGTTGACACGGATAAAATCCGGATAGTATGGATATCCGGTTAATATTCGTTTATGCAACTATCCGGATATCCGGATTTATGAAAATCCGGTTAATATTCGTATTTTAGGATATCCACTAAAACATTAACAATATTCGTTTATTAAATTATGCGCAATATAGAATAAATAGAAAAATGTAAAGGTAACTGGCTAAAATAATCAAAGATGTAGAAATGACAATAACAAACGAAATTACAACAACAAACCGTAACAATGTTAATAAATTCTTCATTTCATTTAACAATAACCACAATAACGTTCATGTGGAACAATATGTTGTACAAATCTCATTTTTTCTTATTTTGGTGTAAGAAAACCAGTGCCGAGATCATTTCCGAACACAAACAATTGTGTGTTGGACGTACCACATTCCCGGAACTTGAGAATACCATTTCTGATGCTGTTGAAGCCACTTCAGGTACCGCTAAATATCTCTTGGCGAGTTTCGACAGTTTGGGATAAATTTTTTCATGATCTTTACACCAATAGCTTACACTGAGGTTGTGGTTTATTTGTTCTTCTATTACATAGTGCTGAAATTCGTCCTCCTCACTTGTGTCACTTTCATTATCATTTAGCAGTACATCCAAGGCCGTGAAATCATTATTTTCCGTTGAAGCTTTTTGGTCATTCATGACAATAGCACCTATTTGATTGTATTCTTTTTTCACGTAATTTTTTATTTCTTCTCGAAAAGCATCGTATTCAACGTACTTCAACTGCTTAAAACGCGGGTCAAGAAAGCTCGCCAAATGTGCAATACTGATGTTTTCCTGAGTTGGATCTTCAATGTCTTCAAAATGAAAACGGCTTCTCAAATCTGCAACTACTTTTTCTTTGAATGTCTTTGCCAGCTTCGTATCAGTTTTTTCCGATCTCATATGTTTAGTTATAATTTTATGAATGATGGGTTTTACCTTAGAAATTGTAATCTCGCTGTCACTGCTAAGAACAGTTGTTGCAATTTGGAAAGGGGTAAGTAAATATATCAGCACATCAATTGAATCCCAGCCGCTATCTGAAATAGCAATATTTTGAGCGGTTTTATTATCGAAAACTGAACGATCAGCAATTACTGCAACAATAGAAGATCTAAGCTCTTTAACTCTTTCCAACATAAAAAGTGCTGAATTCCATCTAGTTGGGCAACTTTGGATGAGTTTTCTGACTGTATGTTCAGTTTGTGTTAAATGTTTTTCCAGAGCATATGTGCGTTTACTTGAATTCTTGAAACACGTTACTAATTTTGAAACCTTTTGGATGATTTCTGCACATTGCGGTAGCTTCATTCCTAAATTAACAATCAATTGAAGTGTATGTGCACTACATGGATGACTGGTAATGCCATCAGTACTCAAACCCCGAACAGCATTTGTTATATTTTTGGCATTGTCGTGTACAACAGTTGAGACTTTTTCAGTGATTTCCCATTCTTCCATGCCAATTCGAAGCGAGTCCTCCAAATTCGCAGCTGACTGACTTTCAGTCACTTCTTCGGTGAGCAAATTTAATGAGCGAGGAGTCCAATTAGAATCTAAATAATGAGCTGTGAGTCCCATGTACGATCGCGTGGCTCTTGATGTCCAGCAATCAGTTGTCAAAGCTATATCAGATGCAGAACTAAGAGTTTTTTTAACTTTCTCTAGTTCGTTATTATGCATGGCATGAATTCTGCCGGAAATGGTTTTGCGACAGGGAATTACGTACTCTGGTTCTAGCATATTCACAAAATTCTTGAATCCATCACATTCCACCTATGAAATAGGTAACAAGTCGACAGAAATCATATTAACCATCGCTTGAGTTATTAGCTCTTGACGTTCTTTAGATATATACTTCGCGCGAACAGCTTGAGCTACTCGCGATGTTCGAACTTTTTTGCTGTTTCTGAACAGTCCGAATTTTGTGAAGGTGTGTCTCCAAAGTGTCGTTTTAATGAACTGCTACTCGGTTTAGACTCTGGCCGAGATTCAGAGAGATAAGCTGCGTCCACGCCATTCTCCTGAATATGGAAAAATATATAGTGGTTCCAAAGGCTTGAAGTTGACTCTTTGTTTTGTAGCGTTTTGCCGCAAAATAAACAAATGGCACTATTCTTGTCCTCACTCTTTTGGAAATGATCCCAAATTTTACTTGGTGTTTTAGCACTCATATTTGTGCACGGAATAGATCTGACGTAGATATAATAATAAAAAACACTTTTTGTGAATAATTTTTCGATGTGTGCTTCAACGATGTAATAACTTTCGATCTGCACACAGTAAACATTATTCAACGAAAAATCCGAATATTTGGATATCCGAATATTATCGTAGCATCCGGATATCCAGACTTTTCGTTTAGGTATCCGGATATTCGAATATTCGGTTTATCCGGATAGTTGAAAAATCCGGATGAAATTCCCAGCCCTAGTAGGCAGTATTTCAGAAGTTTAATGGAATCTGTGTACTCCTAGTGCAGTTCTTAATTTTTTACCTATTAATTTTATTCTAGTCTGTAAGATTCTTTGTAATCATAGACTCAATAAACACTGAATATGTGTGAGGAGGACTCCATTTTTTAGTCGTTTAAATTTAAACTAAAAATGTTTACTTTATAGACTGCTTTTGCTTTAAAACGCTGTATTGAATTTGCAAAAGATCTTATTAGGCGCCGCGAAGGAAGCGGGCATTTGCTAGTTATATAATAGAAGAAATACCAATGTTGTAATATCTTAATTTTAACTATCTAATTACTTACGAATAATAACTCAATATTATTTCACAGCATGTTTTTAATACTTCAAAGCATCTATTAATGTGGCTGAATTTTCCAATGAAATTATCATACATTTTATTCTCGATAAAGTATTGGGTTTTACTTTAAAGCCTTCTTGTGTATTGTCATTGCAAAAGCTAAGCGAACTGGAAACCGAAGTCTTTTAAACTCGAAAGGCATATCAAAAGGAATTAAAGGGGTCATGTGACTTGTGGTTATGAAGTTATGGCTGATAAGAAATTCCACGCCTATATTATGTGCCACGCCCTCATTTACAAACTCATGTTACCATAGATATGATTGCATCTCAAATTTCAATTTTATGTGACTTATGGTTCCGAAGTTATGGCTGATTAAAAATTCCACGAAATTGAGATATGCCACGCCCCCTCCTACAAAGTCATTTACATATAAGCACCTACTATAGATATGTCTGCATACGAAATTTCAAGTCCATGTGACTTATGGTTCCGAAGTTATAGCTGATTAAAAATTTGCAGGCCTATGGGAGGTGCCACACCCCATTGCAAAATTGATCTCATATTTGCAAATAAAACCATACCTATAACCTTCCTGGGGTAAAAAGAAATAAGTGTGCAAAGTTTCGTGTGATTCCGTGTCGTGGTTCAAAAGTTATAAGGTAATAAACAAACAGACATTCACATTTATATATATAGACGATTTTTCATCATACTGTTATATAACTCACATTTAAAATTTGAACGAGATCGGTCAATAAATAAGATCTTTATAAATAACTACTCCAGCGCCACATAGCGAGTTTTTTAGTGGCATATAATAGGACCATATATGCAAGGTATAACCTCCGACAATTTGACGGAACTCCATCCAGTGGTTTTTGAGTTTAGTCCGAAAAGCGAAAACGGCTATCATCATTTTATGTGTATATTTGACGGAACTCTATCCAGTGGTTTTTGATTTTAGTACGAACAGCGAAAAGGGCTATCATCATTTTATGTATATACATACTAGCAAATGCCCGCTTGCTTCGCGGCGCCTAATAAGATCTTTTGCGTTGGCAAATTCANTATAATAGGACCATATATGCAAGGTATAACCTCCGACAATTTGACGGAACTCCATCCAGTGGTTTTTGAGTTTAGTCCGAAAAGCGAAAACGGCTATCATCATTTTATGTGTATATTTGACGGAACTCTATCCAGTGGTTTTTGATTTTAGTACGAACAGCGAAAAGGGCTATCATCATTTTATGTATATACATACTAGCAAATGCCCGCTTGCTTCGCGGCGCCTAATAAGATCTTTTGCGTTGGCAAATTCAAAAATAGCGTTTGAAAGCAAAAGCAGTCTGTAAAGTAAACATTTTTAGTTTAAATTTAAACGACTAAACAACGGAATCCTTCTCACACATATCCCAATAATAGAAGCGCTGTGATTCCATATGGAATACTAATCTCTTTCGATGTAATGTGTTTTACCTATGGTCTTATTTCCACCTGTGAAATCTCTACCAAGCGTGCGTAATATTCTTCTATGATCCTGCAACTTCAGCATTGGTCCGGTATACCATGTAAGCCAATAAAAGTCCTTATACGGAAACTCAAGAGCACAGATGAGCGTTTTCAATTATAGGAGGGCCAAGAATCCTCGCTGCCCCACAGGATGAAAAGTTTTCGCGTACTTTGGCTAAATGAGCCGTGCGATCTCATGAATGTCGTTCAAATGAAGCCATTGATATACCTATCGTGTTTCTTCTTGGACAGATGTGGTCGAATCTTTCCTTGTCAATTCGCCACTTTTACAATTCGTCTTAATATTTATGAATTGGTTTCTTTGAGTCTTACTGCTGTAATAACGGCCGCCTCGAGCAACTTCGTCAATCGGAGGTAGATGCAAGATCACGCTTACACGTCTTACGGTCTTTATATGCATACTTATACGCATCCTTGAATTAGCCTNCATTGATATACCTATCGTGTTTCTTCTTGGACAGATGTGGTCGAATCTTTCCTTGTCAATTCGCCACTTTTACAATTCGTCTTAATATTTATGAATTGGTTTCTTTGAGTCTTACTGCTGTAATAACGGCCGCCTCGAGCAACTTCGTCAATCGGAGGTAGATGCAAGATCACGCTTACACGTCTTACGGTCTTTATATGCATACTTAAACGCATCCTTGAATTAGCCTTCTGAAAAGTAAATTCGTCTAAGATAAACACAGGGCCAAAGCAGAACAAACCCCGTGGGGGTTTCTATATATTTCGGGTGCGGCGTCATCCATTAGGTCCCTTTTCTGAAAAACCTTTGCTTGTCATGAAATGAATATGAATTATGAATTCCGATCAGATTTTA